CTCTAGGTGACAGGGACCTTGGTGACGGTCTTTCCAGTCCTGGCTGTTGTCTCTAGGTGACAGGGACCTTGGTGATGGTCCTCCCAGTCCTGGCTGCTGTCTCTAGGTGACAGGGACCTTGGTGACAGTCTTTCCATTCCTGGCTGTTGTCTCTAGGTGACAGGGACCTTGGTGACGGTCTTCCCAGTCCTGGCTGTTGTCTCTTATTCACAGGGACATTCGTGATGGTCTTCCCAGTCCTGGCTGCTGTCTCTAGGTGACAGGGACCTTGGTGACGGTCTTCCCAGTCCTGACTGTTGTCTCTAGGTGACAGGGACCTTGGTGATGGTCTTCCCAGTCCTGGCTGTTTTCTCTAGGTGACAGGGACCTTGGTGATGGTCTTCCCAGTCCTGGATGTTGTATTTAGGTGAAAGAGACCTTGGTGATGCTCTTCCCATTCCAGGCTGTTGTCTCTAGGTGGCAGGGACCTTGGTGTGGGTCTTTCCGGTCCTGAATGTTGTCTCTAGGTGACAGGGACATTGGTTATGGTTGTTCCAGTCCTGGCTGTTGTCTCTAGGTGGCAGGGACCTTGGTTATGGTAATCCCAGTCGTGGATGTTGTCTCTAGGTGACAGGGACCTTGGTGATGGACTTTCCTGTCCTAGCTGATGTCTCTCCTTGGCAGGGACATTGGTGATGGTCTCCCGAGACCTGGCTATTGTCTCTAGGTGGCAGGGACCTTGGTGATGGTCTACCCAGTCCTGGGTGTTGTCTCTAGGTGACAGGGACCTTGGTGATGGTCTTCCCAGTCCTGGCTGTTGTCTCTACGTGGCAGGAACCTTGGTGATGTTCTTCCCAGTCCTGGCTGTTGTCTCTAGGTGGCAGGGACCTTGGTGTTGGTCTTCCCAGTCCTGGATGTTGTATCTAGGTGAAAGAGACCTTGGTGACGGTTTTCCCAGTCCTGGCTGTTGTCTCTAGGTGGCAGGGACCTTGGTGATGGTCTTCCCAGTCCTGGCTGTTGTCTCTAGGTGACAGTGACCTTCGTGATGGTCTTTCCACTCCCGGTTGTTGTCTCTAGGTAGCAGGGATATTGGTGATGGACTTCGTAGTCCAGGTTATTGTCTCTATTAACAGAGACCTTGGTGATGGTCTTCCCAGTCCTGGCTGTTTTCTCTAAGTGAAAGAGACCTTGGTGATGCTCTTCCCAGTCCAGGCTGTTGTCTCTAGGTGGCAGGGACCTTGGTGTTGGTCTTCCCAGTCCTGGATGTTGTATCTAGGTGAAAGAGACCTTGGTGACGGTCTTCCCAGTCCTGGCTGTTGTCTCTAGGTGG